CAGGGTGTGTCAGGGATTCCCTGCAGGGTGAGGCTGGGATTCCCTGCAGGAATGGCTGGGGTTCCCTGCAGGGTGTGTCAGGGATTCCCTGCAGGATGAGGCTGGGATTCCCTGCAGGGTGTGGCCGGGGTTCCCTGCAGGGTGTGTCAGGGATTCCCTGCAGGGTGAGGCTGGGATTCCCTGCAGGGTGTGTCAGGGATTCCCTGCAGGAATGGCTGGGATTCCCTGCAGGGTGTGTCAGGGATTCCCTGCAGGATGAGGCTGGGATTCCCTGCAGGAATGGCTGGGATTCCCTGCAGGATGAGGCTGGGATTCCCTGCAGGATGAGGCTGGGATTCCCTGCAGGGTGAGGCTGGGATTCCCTGCAGGAATGGCTGGGATTCCCTGCAGGAATGGCTGGGATTCCCTGCAGGGTGTGGCAGCTATCCTGTGCAATCACAACACTGTCCCCAGTTTTACTCCTCCCTGCTTGCAGCACCAAGCATCCCAGGAATATCCCCTGTCTGGGCCACCCCAGAGTGTCTGGGTCCCTTTTTGGGGACAAGGCCATGTGCAGGCTGTATTCCTGGAAGACACTTTTTCCCATTAGTTGTGTTGTTTATCTAGCCAGCCAAGCCGTGTTCCTGTGCCCTATCCTTCCAAAAAGCTGCAGATGTGCTGTGACACACACAGCTGGATGCAGCAGGCACAGGGACTACCTGGAAGCTGCTTGGGACACTGAGTGTGTTCCTTGTATTTTCCTGTACTGTGACCTTGGCCAGTAATTTTGTGTTGAGGATTTCCCTTGTTGATTTATTTAACTTATTTTCCAAAGAAATCTCCTCACTGGAGTTGACTTTCACAGCAACTTGTGGGCACTGCTGTGTGTGTAGGATGTCACAGATCATTTTTGGCCATTTCACATGTTCGTTGCTGTTTGTCCCCAGTGCTGCCCAGCCACCAGCCTGCCTCCTGTGTCACAACATCTCACCACTCGTGTCCTACCTCATTCCCAGGGCCTGATTCACACAGCCAGGAGGGAGCAGCCTGGCCTTGGGCTGTTTCCATGGCTTTCTGGGGGAAACAGAATGTGAAGGATCTGCTGCACCCCAAAGTGAAAGCCTGTGTTGTGCACACACAGCAATAGCTCCAACGGATAGAATTGTTGTGCCAAAATGCTGGAGGTGCCCCTTGCCAGCCAGAGGATTTCCCACCTGGCTCCAGAAACTGTGGCCTTTGTGTGAGCCCTTGGGATTCTCAGAATTATCAGGAGTGCTCCTCACTGTGCTTAATAAAAGCAACAGCCCACAAAGCAAAGCTCTTCCCAGAAATTGTCCTTTATCCTAGACCACAGGTAACCTCTTCCCTTCCTTGGCAGTGCAGCTGGCAGAGCTTTCCCTTGGGAAGCTCCTCTCCATGGCATTCATTTATGTGCAGGAGTGTCCCTGACAGAAGTGTGGCTTGTGTCCCCAGGCTGTCACTGCCCCTCGTGCCACACCTGGTTGTGAATCAGGCCCGGAATCTCCGATCTAACCTCATTTAACAGTACAATGTTCAGTGGTTGTAGCTTGGTGAATAACTGATGTCCTTTCTGTGTGTGTCTCCCCCTCCACGCCCCCCACCCTCCCTCTCATGTGCTGCTCTGCCCCTCCCCAAACTTTGAGTTCTTTCTAACTCTTATTTACAACGCTTTTTGCTCCTGGACACCTTCCTTTCTGTTTGCCTCTCGTTTTTTTATGTTCCACTTATTTAAAAAAAACCCTCCTCCTGAGTTTCCACCCTCCCTCGTTGCTGTCCTGCCCTCATCACCTCCCTCCCTGGTCGTCATCGTGTCTGCTGCACATCTGATGTCTGACACTGGCTGTACTGTGGGGCTGCTTCCAATAATGTTCCTCACCTTGTCCGAAATGTTTGCAGAGGAGCAAAGCACGGTCACCTGGGAGTTACCTGGCAGTATGTAGTTTGCACTAAATTGTATCCTATTAAATTCATCTTAAGAATTAATTAACCTTCCTTTAACCCTTGACTTTTCTCCCCTCTCATCTGGAGTCGCTCCGGCACAGTCTCTTCCCCCTTTTCCCTCTGCACGCTGCTCGCTCTGGTAGCAGGGGTTGGGTGGGTGGGTTGCTTTATTTTGATTTGTTTGTTTTCATGCCTCGTTGCTCCGGAATTTAGGCAGTGAAAACAGTCGGGTTGGTAATGAAGAAGCAATTAGGATCTCTCTGCGGGGATGCATGCAGTCTCCCGAGGCTTTTTGGGAGCCTGTGGCTCCCATAACAAGAGCCTTGCCAGGATTTATGGAAAAAGGATTGATTGCTTTGCCACTGATTTGTGTCAGTGGGACTTCTGTCCCTGGAATAAGCGTGGAAGCAGGACTAAAGCTCAAAAAGGAATCTTCATTTTTTGTCAATCTTTGTGGAGTTTTTTTGTTGGTGGTGGTGGGTTTTTCGTTTTTGTTTTTTTTGTTTTTTTTTTTTCCCTTTTGCTTTCTTTCTTTCTGGCAGCCCCTCTATGGATTTTGAAAATCTGGTATCTGGATGTGTTTTTTTAGTGAGAAATACTTTCACTTCCCATATTTTTGCCCACCAGACTGTCCAGTTTACAGCCCCCCCTGCCTTCCCCCAGCTGCAGGCTCAGCACTGAACAAGGACAGATACGAAGCTCCTGAGTATAATTTCTTGCCCACACAAGTGAGGGCCATAAGAGGTGACACTAACGTGGTCCTGCTGATGGAATTGGTGCTTCCAGGCCCACACCACAAGCTGTGCTGGGCTCCCTCATCCCAGCCTTGTGCCTCTGATAAACCTTCCAGCAGCAGGATCCCAGCTGCCCTTCAATGGGAAGCACCAAAATGTGGGTAACTGCCTAGATCGTGCCTTCACACCAGGATAATCTGCCCTCAAGGGGAGGGAGAGTGGTTTTTCCACTCGAAATAATGAGCAGAGCTGTGAAACAGTTGGCTTTGCCTTGGGTAAATATCACAGGGAGGCAGAGATCTGGGTTTCAGGATAAGCAAACAAAAGAGAGCAGACAGTAAAAATAATACAGAGCTCTTAGGAAAGGTTACAGTGAGTAGAGTAAATGTTCCCTGAGAGTTGGTGTTGGAGGCACTTATTGGATTGGGAATTCAAACAAGTGTAATGCTGAGGGGCTGGGGAACATCCTGAATTTCTCTGTCGAGCTGGGACACCGTGCTCTGAGATGTCTCCTCTGGCACGTGGCTCGGATGCAGTGACAGACCCAGGGGAGCATCCAGAGGCTGGATGAGGTGTTGTCTCCACACAGAGCCAACCAGAGGCTAGCAGAGAAGGAAATATGGGAACTGTCCCTGTTTTCTGAGCGTTATCCCTGGGCAGAGGGAGGGCAGAGGCTGTGAGAGGAGCTGTCCTGCAGGACATTGTCTGGGGTTCTGCAGAATCTTTGTACCTAAAGGGAAGGGAGCAGGGTCTGGAGCTGCCACTGGCACAGGGAGGAGGTCCAGAAATGCTGTTACAGCTCTCAGTGCCCAGATGTTTGGACACAAATCTTTTAAAAACAGCAATAGTAAACCCAGGTATTCCATTCTGGAGATGTCCTGGTGGCATTGCAGGATGTACACACTATTCTTGCCCCTGGCAAAGGGCTTCAGGGAGAGATGGTGGGACAAGAGAGGTTTAAATGTTTGATGGGAGTTGTGTTCACTTCAGGGAGATAGAAGGAATTTCCTGGTGGCTTGGCCTGTACCTCCTCCCGATTCCTGATTTTTCTCGCCCTCCATGTGGTGCTCAGCAATGCTACCTGCTTTCCTCTTTGGAGCTGCTTTGGGATGCAGGCCCTGGAGCAGCTGTGGGTGCCCCTGGTGTTGGAGAACTCCCCTTGTGAGGTGCTTGGCTGCTGCTCTGCCCCGTGTCCCTTCTGAGCTCCCTGCTGGGTGTGCTGTGCAGTGCTGCCTGTGCCTCTGCTCCCGTGGTCCCCATGGATTGGCACCCGGAGGTCACATTCACTCCCCAAATTCCACACTCAATCCACATCCCACAGATCCTCCGGTTGTCTCCAATTATCCATTTCTCTCCTTCCCCTCCTTGCCCCTTTCTCTGGCTGTTTAACCCCCTCCATGCTGGGAGCCAGGCCGCCGAGCGGGGCGCGGCCGTCCCTCACGGTGCTCCGTGTCCCTGCCTGTTCCCCGCAGCCCATCCCGGACACGAGCCCCATGAAGCGCTCGGTCTCCACGCTGGCCCCGCAGCGCCCTCACGCCATGCACCTCTACGAGTATTCCCTGGAGCGGATGCCTCCGGAGCAGGGCCACCACCACCACCACCACCGCTGCCACCGGCGGAAAGAGAAGAAGCAGAAGTCCGTGGATAGGGCCGCCCATCACTTGGCCGATGGACAAGCTGGTGAGTGCTTTGCCGACGAGGATTTGTCCCTGGGAGGTCAGGGAGGAGGTGTACGTCCCCTGTCCCCCTCTTTTCTGGTGGGGTTTGGGGTCCCGTGTGTGTGGAAGGACCTCCGCACCCCACACACGCTGGTGACCCAACGTTCTCCTTTCAGTAGCCCAGTCTGGAGAGTCTTCTTCCAAGGACAAGAAGCAGGAGCGTGGCCGCTCCCAGGAGAGGAAGCAGCACTCCTCCTCCTCCTCCGAAAAGCAGCGCTTCTACTCCTGCGACCGCTACGGCAGCCGGGACCGTGCCCAGCCCAAATCTGCTGACCAGAGCAGGCCCACCTCCCCCAACGGGGGCCCAGAGCACGGCCCACACAGACAGGTGAGGAGAGGCAGGGTGGGGAAGCAGCCCTGAGGTCTGCCAGGGATCTGGGCACCTTTTCCATTTTTAAATTCCTTAAACTGGAGGAGGTGGAAAGGGCAAGGAAGGTCAGGCAGTTGCAGATAAAACCATCGAGGTCCTGCTTGGGGACTCACACCAAGGTTGGAAAAATCCTTCAAGTCCAAGCTGTGCCCAGTCCCACCTTGTCACCAGCCCACAGTGCCACGTCCAGGCCTTTCTTGGACACCTCCAGGGATGGGGACACCAAACCTCCCTGGGCAGCCCCTTCCAAAGCCTGTCCACCCTTTCCAGGAAGACATTCCTCCTGATGTCCAACCTGAACCTCACCTGGCACAACTTGAGGCTGTTTCCTCTTGTCCTGCTTCCTCTTACATGGGAGCAGAGTCTGACCCCCCACCTGGCTCCATGCTTCTGTCAGGGAGTAGTAGAAACCAAAAGGGTCCTCCCTGGGCTTCCTTTTCTCCAGGCTAAAATGTAGTTCTCCTTTCTCCTGTAACTGTGAGATGCTCAGGCCCTTGGGAGAAGCTGGGCAATTTCCCCAGGGTGCTGGAATGTTGCTGGTCACTGGGAGAGCCAGGCAGGGCAGAACAAGCAGTGACTGACAGCCTGATGAGTTGATAGGAAGGAAAAAGTGCTCTTTAAAAATTAAAGGTCTGGTCTCAAAATGTTAGGTTGGGAAGGGCTGAGGGGATTGTTCAATGTGCTCATGTCCTGCCTTGGGAGAATGTAAACAGAAATGGGAAGACAGGCCCTTTCCTCTCACTCGTGGCATTTGTGTAAATCCAGCTTAGTTCACTCTCACAAGGCATTATTAGGAACCCAGGAAGCTGCCAGACTCTTCTACCACTCCAAAATCAAATGTGTAATATTAGAGAGGAGAATGTGAACACATTTCTGTTAAAGGGACTTGTTAAAGCCTGTCCAAAAAGCTTTTGGTTGTTATTTTTTCAGAAATTGGCTTTTTAATCCAAAGGCACTTCATTCCCACCCTGCAAAAAGCAGTCACCCAGATCCTCTTCCCATGCAGAATCCATAATAATAACAACCCATAATCCAGTTTTGGCAACAGAAAGAGATTCATGGAATCTCTAAGTGGTTTGATTTGGAGGGGACCTTAAAGCCCATCTCTTTCCAACCCCCTGCTGTGGCCAGGGTCACCTCCCACAAACCCAGCATGCACAACTGCGGGGTGATGTTCTGCAGAAACCCACCCCAAAGCAAAACTGCAAAAAAGTCAGCAATAATTTGTAAAAATGCCCAATAACTCGGGTTTTTGAGCTGCTCCCAGGCCAGGTAAGGCGCATGTCGAGCCCTGTATGCTGTGGGTGCCTCCCCTGGGCAGTGTCCCCTCTGTTGGAGCCGTGTGCCAGTTCGCGTCCTACCGATGCTCTGCCCCTCTCTGTTCCTACTGCTCCCAGACTTGAATTCTCCAGCTCTTCACATCTCGTGTTGAATTATCTCTCGAGAACCTCCCGCCCCGACTGTGCTTGTCTAAACTCTCTCTTTTTTTTGCTTTTCTTTCCTCTTGTGACTCGTCTCCGCCTTCTGTTGCTTCTCCTTCTGTTTGATACCTGCCTGCCTTTGTGTTTGTCCGGCGTTTCCCTTTTTTTATTTTTTGATTTGCTCTGTTCCAATTTTGATGTAGGGCAGTGGTTCAGTTAATGGGAGCCCCTTGCTGTCGACATCTGGTGCTAGTACCCCCTGCCGGGGTCGGAGGCAGCTCCCACAGACTCCACTGACCCCACGCCCCAGCATCACTTACAAGACCGCTAACTCCTCGCCCGTGCACTTCACCACTTTCCAAACCCCCACGTTCTCCCCGGGCCGCCTGAGCCGCGGGCTGTCCGAGCACAACGCGCTGCTGCGGGGGGAGCAGCAGCCGCCCCCGCCCGCCGTGGCCCGCATCGGCTCCGACCCCTACCTGGGCCACCGCGCCGCCGCCAGCCCGCAGCGCGCCGCGCCCGAGGACACGCTCACCTTCGAGGAGGCCGTGGCCACCAACTCGGGCCGCTCCTCAAGGACTTCCTACGTCTCCTCGCTGACCTCGCAGTCGCACCAAATCCGCCGGGTGCCCAACGGGTACCACTACACGCTGGGGCTCAACACGGGCCCCGGCGCCCGAGGACGCAGTTACTACCACGAAGCCGATGAGGATGACTGGTGCTAGCGGCTCGGCGGAACCCTGCGAGGTGTGCGTGCTTAATAAGGATGAGTTTTATCATCTGGAGGGCTGGGAGCTCCCCTGGGGGCCCGGGGCCAGAGGCGGCCGGCGGGGCAGCCCTGAGAACTGCTCAGTGCCCGGGGCCGGAGATGCCCCTGCAGCCTCTCTCTCCTCTGTTGTTCTTTAGTTTTTTCCTTTTTGATTTGTGTTTTTTTTTTTGCACTAGACAGATGGAGGAAGAAGGCTCCCTCCTTCTGGGGAAGGCAGCGGGGGGAGCACATCCCTCTCTGCCCCCTCCCCACTGCCTTGTCTAGTCCTGAGACACGCACCAGGTGCCAACCCGGCCATGGAGGCGAGGAGCCGGGAGAAGAGAGATCCTCACCTTCCACGGTGGAAAAGCAGAACTGTGGGTCCTTCTCATGATTGGCACAGTTTTGTTGGGCTATTTCTTAACTAATTTTCCATCATAATTCCCCCCTTCTCAGGGTGGGAGCCGGGGGCCGCAAAGGGACTCGCGCAAACAACGCTCGCCCCCCGCGTTTTGTCTCGTTGAGTGCCGAGAAGGAAGAGATGCACCCGAGAAACTGGGAGAGGAGAAACACAGCCCAGAACAAAGGACAGTCCTTTGGGACTTGATGTTCAGCCACTGCAATCCTTTAGGGCAGAGCTGGTGCCACCCTGAGGTGACCCTGCTGTGACACCACTGCCCCGGGGGTCTCTAATGTCACTCACCACATCGGGTCCTTCACACTGACACACGGTAAAGCCACAAGAGAGCTCCTTTGTAAGGACTGTTTCCTTGCTGCTGAGACTTTTCAATCCATCCCTCTCTCCTGTTGACTGCAACACACCCTCACTGTTTTGTCTTGTTTACAATATAAGCTTGATTTAGCAAAAAACAACTTAAAAAAAAAAAAAGTCCACAAAAAAAAGACCAACCCAAACAAAAAGAGGAGAAAAAAGCGTAAGGGTGAGAAGAAGAAATGTTATTGGTTTTATATCAAGTATTAGATAGAACTTTAACTTTTCATTGTGTGCATTTTTGTAAATTGAAAAAAAAAAAAAAAAAAAAAAAAAAGAAAAAGAAAAGAAAATTTCCTCTTTCTGTAGAGAATTAGTCCAATTGTCATTCCAGGTCCCACCGTTTCTACCGAATGCTCCAGTTGTTCACTAACTAAGTGCCTAACCTTTGAAATCTTTCACAGTGACGATGCAACCTCTTGCTTCGAGGCATCAGAGCTTGGGCGAGCGTGGGGAGGGCGGAGGGAGCGGGGGCCGAGCGGCCGGAGCCTCGGAGGGGCCCTGGGGTCACCGAGCCCCAGGCTGGGAGCTTCCAGTGGGGAAGGCAAACGTGCTTTGGGTTTGGTTTGGGTTTTGTTGGCCTTTTATTTTTATTTGTTTTTTAGAATATATAAATATATATATATATATAGATAGATATACTTTTATGGGTGAGAGGGGAGTGATTGCAGCAAACAAAGCCAGCCTTGTCTCATTGCCCAGTGGAGGAAATGTAGGTGGGAAAGGGCAGCATCTGCAGGGGTGCTCCTGCAGGAGAAGCAGCATCTCCCACGGGCCAGCTGAGAGAGCTCTGGCCATGCATCATTGATGTGGAGGGCAGCTGGAGTGAGTTGTTTTTATTGCCTGATAAGAGAAGGTTAAAAAAAAAAGTGATGATGATAATAATAATAATCCAAACCTCTAACTCTGATTCTCAGGGATGAGATTTCTGCGTTCTTGCAACGACTCTTGTGTTGGCTGGTTTCTTTCTTTTGTGCCCGTGTGGATTCCTGCACTGTGAGCCTGGGAAAAGGGCAAATGCTGTGCTGGCGGGGAGGGAGGCTGGGGACAAAGCTCGGCCAGGACCTCGTGCCTGGGGCTCTGCTCAGCCCTTGTAGGGCTGGTTCGGGGCACAGGGCAGCCAGAGGACGTGGAGAGGCTAAAAGGTGAAAGGATGGGTGGGAGGTGCTGGGCACATCCCTAAAAATGCCACTAGGAAAGAGGATAGGGTTGGAGAGTTGAATTTTTTCAGAGGATCTGCCAAGCCCTGTGGAACTTCTCCAGGTGCAGCGGTTGCGTGGGGTGGGTGGAAATCCCGCTGGCCCTGGCGACCTGTTCTGTCCCTGGGTTGCTTGGAGGGGATCAGATGCCACCAAAATGCTCAGGAGGTCTCTCATGCTCCCAGCAAAGTCTGTCAGCCTCAGGCAGGAGCAGTCTGCTCTAGGGTGGTTCTTCACATCTCCTGTAGCTCTTCTCTTGAGGAAACTCAACCCGGTTTTGTTCCCTCCGGTGTTTTGTTTTAATTTTGTTCTGTTCAGTAGCAATCTCTGGCCGATCTCATCCCTGGATTCTGCTAAAGGATAACTCCTGTCTGTATCTCTGTCTCTGTACTCGTGTGCACTCGGAATAAAGGCAGTGTGGTAGCCAGAGGTCACGGCTGGCATTCCTGGCATTCCCAAACGGAGGGCTATGCAACCAGATGACACGTCCGGACACACACCCACCCCACCACCACTCTGAGACCTTCATCCATCTGTAGCTTTAGCTGCTGGATTTTCCTGTTTCAGGCTTCAGCACGATTGTGACCAAATGTTTTATACATTTTCCTGAAATGAAGGCACAAACACTTTATTTGAAATTTTCCAAGGGAACGTTCCTATTTTACTCCAGGAAGTCGAGGGGAAGGGACAACACCATCTCTCTGCCCGTGCATGCAAACACTGTACCCACACTGGAAAGCAACAGAGATGTCTTTCTTTACGGAATAATTCTGTCTTTTCCCCCTTTTCCTCTCCCATTTTTCATCCCCAACCCCCCAGCCCTGCGCTTACACAGCCTTGGGTCACCCCAGTTCGTAGGCAGAACACAAAGAAGAATCTCAAGTTGTCCAAATCCTCCACCCACCTCATAGGGGTCGATGACAGTGACAGACAAGCCTGACCACAATTATCCATAACCCTTTCCCGACGTTTTTTTACAGCCTCTCTGCTGTCTCTCCATCTTTCCAAGAATCCTCATAGTGAGTTGCCAAACTTGAATTGCACCAATCAGTTTTCTGCATCCAGAACCAGTCTCGTAGTGGCTGTACTTTGAATAAGTAATGTTTGCATGTAATATATATACATATATACATATCTATAAAAAGTATGTGCATGGAAAAATGTTTATCTTCGTACTTTTTTGATACAATGTATTCATCAGTTGTTAATTTTTAATTATATTTGATATAAATTTGGGGGTTTGTTGCAAAACTTTATATTTAAAAAACAGTGTGAAAAACGATCAAAGTTCCAACCATGCAACACAAGTGGAACTTTACCCAAAAAAAATAAGGGGGAAAAAAATCGAGAAAAAAAAAGGTTCTGTGATTGCCTAGTTTGCTGCCTGAGTAATATTTATCAGCCAAACTTTGAATTCTGCAGTTGTTTCTACAATTCCATTTTGTATGAAGCAAAGTCCTTGAATTAAAATAAAAACTTAGCAAAAAAAAAAAACCAACCTGAGCAATTCCCAGACGGTGTGTGCGGTGTGCCTGCTGAGCGGGAGGCTGGAGTGACCTCCAGGAGTGACAGCCCGGGAGAAACTGCATCCCAAACTGGGATTTTGCAAGGAATTGGCCACGTCTGTGGGGATTTTTTTTGTCCATAGAGGCTTCACAGATGCTCGGTTTGAGTAGGGAGCTGTTTGGAAATTTGTGGTGTAGATCCAGCATGAAGATGGCAGTTCCTGGAGTACAAAACAGGCAGCAGAACTGTAAAGTTGAGGGTTAAAATCCTCCAGCTGTAAAGTTGAGGGTTAAAATCCTCCAGCTGTAAAGTTGAGGGTTAAAATCCCCCAGCTGTAAAGTTGAGGGTTAAAATCCCCCAGCTGTAAAGTTGAGGGTTAAAATCCCCCAGCTGTAAAGTTGAGGGTTAAAATCCTCCAGCTGTAAAGTTGAGGGTTAAAATCCCCCAGCAGCGATCCTGCCAGGTGTTTAACAATCCTGTAAAACTGGCACAGGTTGCCCAGAGAAGCTGTGGATGTCCCATCCCTGGAAACATTCCAGGTCAGGTTGGATGTGGCTCTGAGCAAGCTGAAGGTGCCCTGCTCATCCCAGAAGGATTGGACTTGAGACCTTTTAAGGGTCTAACCCAAAATCCAACCCAGACTATTCGATGTGCTCCTTTTGGCTCTAACCCTGATTAAACCCCAGCCCCACTCCCAGCTGGAGTTCCTGGGGCTCCCTCAGAAGTCAGCAGCATGAGGAGTTGGATTGGTGTCAGAGTCTGTCACCAGGCCCTGCTGTAGCACCTGGGAAAAACAGAATTAATCTTAATCATACTTGTGGAATTAATTGGAAGTTGGTGCTTCCAAGGCTTGCACTGAGCAGAAAACCCCAAGGGCTGTCGGGACAGAAGGAAAGAACTTCTCATTTCTCTGGATAATTGGAGACTCCCCCTCATTCCTTTCCAGGGACAGAAATCCACTGTGTTCCTCCTTCATCAGGGTCTTCTGGTGTCACACAACACCAAGGTCTCTCCAAGAATTCTTGGATGTTGTAGAGCACTTTTTAGAGCACAAGGACTTGATTCTTCTTCTCTCTGGTTTCTGAGATGAGACCACCCAAGGTGCCACCTGAGGTTTGGTGTGGAATTAAAGGAAAAGGTCCTTAAGGCCCTGATCTCCAGGTCAGGCTGGAGCTTGGGCAGATGTTTGGCTTGAGGTCACACACTTCATGGTTAGTGAGGTTGGGGCAGGAGAAATTTCCTTGGCTTGCAGCCAGGTCTGTGCAGGGTTAGGGGCTCTTGGCTGGATGACACTGAAGAGCAGGATTTTTATTTTCTGAAATATCCCAAATAAACATGAAATGGAGATTTCTGAGCAGGGTACAAAGGAAGGTTTGAAGTGGAGGATTTTGGAATCAGTGTCCACCCCGACCACTGAGGGTATCCTGCAGGATTTGCTTCACCACAACCACCCGAGGAGCTGGAATCTGCCTGGGGGACCAGCTGAGCAGCCTCTCCCCTTCACACCTGGATCACAGAGACCTCCAAACCCACTTTACAACCCCATATGAGTTTTAACACCCTAAAAGTGTTTTGGTGACTCTTTGCCCTTTTAAAGTATTTTTTTTTTCCTTTCTTTTTCCTTGTTCCACTTGTGCTCATTAGGTCCAAAGCAGCAATCAGCTTCTCCAGGGCCTGCCTGAGCCCCGGGCTGAGGGAGCTGGAACAGGCAGGATCCCTGATCCCACACTCAGAGCATCTCCCACAGCCGAGATGCTGGAGCTGGAACCTCTGGGTTTGAGTTCAGCTGAATCCCAAAAATGGCTTTATTTTTGTTTCTCATCCCATTCCTGGTGAAATGTTTTGCTGTCAGGGTGTTTGCTCCCCAGGGGCACATCTTTCTAGCAGAGACCACACGATTTCCATTCTCTTTGTTCTCTGTGGATAAAACCTGGATCAGTTTTTCCTAGGTCAGCACCCCACACCCGGTTGTGCCATTAGGGGGTAGCATTTTCAGGCTTTTTCTACTTTCTAGGGAAACAGAAAAAAAATTAAAAACCACTGATTCAAAAGGCTTGAGAGTCATTCCCTGGAATATTTGTTTTAGGATGCAGAAGACTCAGGGTGAGATGCTGAGCACACCTGAGTTCAAGGTGCTCAGGGAATTTGGCTTTTTTAATTCTCTGGAGCATGAAAAGCTGGGTTCATCCGCTGATTCCTCATTCCAGCCACATTTCAGACAGCACCCACAGACTCCTACGTCCCCTCCAAGGTGACAGATTACTCATCCCAGTATTCACCCCTCTTTATCAAGCCTAAGCAGATCTCCTGATACTTTCCAGGCTGTGAAAACACCATTTTCAGAAAGTGCCTGATCGTGATAACAACCCTCAACTCA